TTTCTTATAAGAGTCATAAAGTTTTTGCTTTTACTTTTATGTCTTTATTTAGCTCTCCCATTAGGTCTTCAATTCATTTTAGCTCTTCATTAGGTCTTTAATCCATGTTGAGATTATAGTGCTAACCTCTGCCCTCAGGGCTAAATGCATCATATGCCTTTCTCACGTGTTCTGTGCTTAGTCTTGCTCCAAGTGCGTCCCACGGCTATTGCTAAACTGCAAATAAGTGCTGCTATACCTAACTTCAGATTCTGTCTAACATTCTCTTGAGGTGTGTTGACATTCATTTCACTATTATTTCATCATCTTTTGGAAAGCATTTCTTTTTCCTTGGGGATCAAAGGCTATCCATCAGAATTTATTGCATTTTATTCATTTGTCTTTGCTCTTAACTGCAATTTATTATACTCATTTTTATTGTTATGATGTTCAGTCTTACTTTGTGTTCTCTGCTTTTCATGATTGCTATCTGATTTCTGGCATCCATCTGTGGAGCATCTCATTTATTAGTGCCAAATTGAACATCTCTCACTGGCTTGCTTTGACAGCTTATTCTAGTTCTCACATTCCTTCACCTTCTTTCCAGGGTGAATTCATGTAAAATATTTCATTTCTTATTCAGGTTTACCTTTGATGTATTGTTCTTTTATAATTTCACTGAATAAATAATAAAGTTAATCATATTCTTAAATTATTTTGGTATGGTGTCTGACAGATCTGTTCTTGATATCTTGATATCTGTTGTTCTTTGATGAAGTTCCCCACATGTAAAAATGTATTAAGTCTATCTTTCGTTTATATTAAGTTTTACAAAGAAATTTCACAGTGCACTGCTTTTTTTTTTTTTTTTTTTGTAACTCTAAACTACTGAAGGAAACTTCAATTTTATAAAGCACCTACAAAGTTCATGGGGACATTGGTAGTCCAGTGGTAGAATTCTTGCCTTCCATGCAGGCTAATCAAGTTCAATTTCTGGCCAATGCATCTCATGGGCAGCCACTGCCTGTCTGTCAGTGGAGGCCATCATGTTGCTATGATGGTAAATAAGCTTCAATAGAGCAACCAGACTAAGATGGACTAGGAAGAAGGCCTAATGATCTGTTTCCAAAGATCAGACAATGAAAATTCTGGGGATCACAGCAATCCATTCCACAGTGGATGGTGCAGGAGTGGGCAGTGTTTTGTTTTGCTGTGCGTGGGGTTGCGTGTGAGTTAGGGGCTGCCTCAACAAAAGCTAAAAACAACAACATAGTTTATAAGGTGGTTCAAGATGATTGACCAACAGTGTGTCTTTTAATCCTTGCCACCACCCTGAAAAGTAAATTTTAACATTATCATATTCCTATGAAAACTCAGGATCAGGGAGATCAAGATGCTTGTTCAAGCTACCCAGCAACTAAGTGAGGACTGAATCTGGCTTTGTCTGAGCCCAGAGCCTGTACCCTTTCAGAATACTGTATAACAAGATAGGTTCAATTTAGGAATTACGTGTCGTATGTTTGCTCTATGCTATATGAGTGCACCAGGGACAACTCAGGGACGCCCAAAGCAGCAGGCCAGAAGAGCAGGAGAAAGGGGATTAAAGCCAGACAGAGGTACAGTCAGCCACCAGGACCCAGGTGGGGGTGATACGAGAGGTCTCCAACAGCAAGACAAACTTGTCTGTTGGTTTGTCCTACTGTGGTGACATGTAGACGTGAGTTTTGAGGCTGAGCTTCTGGTGTGTAAAACCCAGCGAGATGCACCTGGTGCACAGGTAACAGCCCAACTTATAGACTGAGACAGACT